TTCCATCCATCCATCCATCCATCCATCCATCCATCCATCCATCCATCCATCCATCCATCCATCCATCCATCCATCCATCCATCCATCCATCTATTCATCCAGCCAGCCAGCCATTCATTATCTATACATTCATCATTCATCTTTTCATAATCCAGCCGTCCACCCATCCTGTCATCATTCATCCATCAAATATCTTTACAGATTTCTTCCTTTTCGAGTCACAGGGGTCACTGGTGCCCATATACAGCAGTCACTGTGTGACAGGCGGGGTACACCCTGGACAGGTCTCCAGTCCATCACAGGGACACAAAGAGACAAACGAGACAAACAACCATTCACTCTCTCACTCACACCTAGAAACAATTTAGAATTATCAGTCAGTCTAACACGCATGTTTTTGGTCTGTGGGAGGAAACTGAAATACCTGGAGAAAACCCACACATGAACAGAGAGAACATGCAAACTCCACCCAGAAAGGTCCCTGCCTGGGATTTGATCCAGCGACCTTTTCACTGAGAGGCAACAGCTCTACCAACTGATCCAGTCTTTCAGTCATTGGAAATAATCTTTACAGATTTGCCGGGTTGCCGTTTAATCATACTTGTGTATTTTATTTTATTTTTTCTTCTTTTGGCTGCTCCCTTCCTCGGGGGTCACCACAACGAACTAACTCGCATGAAGACTTGGCAATTGTTTTAACGCCAGATGTCCTTCCTGACGCAACCACAGACCACTGAGCTACCACAGCCCTCTGTGTGGAGCAGAGAGCTGCCATCCAGGGCGCCTGGGGGAGCAGATGGTGGGGGTTAAGGGCCTTGCTCAAGGGCCCAGAGTGGGGCAAATGAGGGAGGAGGCAGGTGTGGGTGTTTCACCTTCCCCACCCACATTTTGATGTTGTCTAGCCAGGGAGTTGAACCAGTGACCTTCTGATCACAGGCCCACCTTCTCTAACCTCTGCGCCACCACTCTCCTTGGCGTTTAATCATACAAGCACTGGAAAAAATAAATAAATAAAAAAGTTTGTCCTTCTGCTGCTGTTCTCTAGAAATCTGTCAGACTTCAGGCAGAAGGCTCAGCTGGTGCTTTATCCGGTGGAGCCTGGAGGGTCTGTAATCTCAGCGTCCTCACCGAAGCATGACGGGGAGCGAAGACACCCACACTCCTTCAGTCAAACCCAGTACAGTGGCAACAAGTAATCCTCCGCCTCTCAGCTGATCCTCCATCTCAAGTCAGGCAGACAATTATCAATCTGCTGCGTGTGTTTGTTGCGCATCATCCTGCTCAGAAATGAAATGGAGTTTTTAGTAAAACCTGTTTTGATTGAAGTTTTGTATTTAAATAGGTAAATATGAAAAACACACACACAATAAAACCCCAACGTCTACGACACAGATGAAGCTTTGAAAACCATCAGCAGCTGAAACTGATCTACTCATTAAAAAAATGGTCCAATTTGAGAAGTTTTCAAAGTAGCTGCCTTCACAGTGGCTCAGTCTGCACCAAAATGTTCATTTATACCGCCTAAATGTTCATAAAGTCAACAGGTTTTATTTAGTCACTGAACTTTTCTCTGTAACGTGTTCTTTTAATACAACACATACATAATACAGTCCTGTTTAAGATAATTACCTCTTGTTCTTCTTTGTTAAAAAAAACTTCCTGACATTAAAAAAAAATAAATAAAAAAAATCACTTTTATTTTGTGTGACCTTTAAAACATTTCCTAATTTGCCCAAATTGTAGATTACTTTTAATGCTAGTTCAGATAGGATAGTTCTTTTAAAGTAGGGTCTGTGCAAATGCTATAAACAGTTATTATCTTACCTGTTCTATATCGCTTTATGAGCAACAGAGTTGATTTTGGACAGAACTGATGAGCTAATAGCTAACAGCTAGTCACAGAGAGAAAACCACAGGCCTGAAAACAACTCCAGCCTCAATTATTTCATGGCAGTTTACATGAACTCCATTAATAAATCTTTATACTGCTGTACATTTTTCAGGATGTGGTCCTGCCAGCAGAAATATCATGACATTCCTGTTGGACCGCCTCAGGCTGCACTGGAAGTGCTACAGCTAGCTGTTGCTGCTAGTGGTGCTTGAAAATACCAGTTAAATTCCCTGCAAATATCTGTGCTCCTAAAAATTGTCTGCAGTGTAAAGATTTGAAAAATCTAGGTATAAACCACTTGAAAATCCTTTAGACTGTTTTTGCTGTAATCCACTTTGATGATGGTTCCACTCAGACTAGCCATTAGCTCGACTTGTCAAAATTAAAGTCCGCTTCTTCCAACTTCGGTTGTAAAAACAGCAATATACAGCAGGTAAGATATTAATCATTCATAACCTTTCCACAGAATCCTACTTAAAAAACATATTATTGCTTTAAGTAACGTAAACTTGTCGCTTTTTAGCGAAATTCACTAATTTCAATTTAAAAAAGGCATTTACATGAATCATCTAGATCCAAAGAGTTTTTTTCGAGGTGGGAGGAGGTAGATGGCATAATTTACAATTGACTGGACTTACGCTACGTAAGTCATGCTAGCTAGCTTGCAACCTGTGCTCGTGGTAACTTGTATGCACTAAGCTAAGCTAGGGTACTTACATTGTGCTACCCTACAACTACGTAAGTACTTACATTGTGCTACCCTACAGCTACGTAAGTACTTACATTGCGCTACCCTACAGCT